GTCATTGCGTCAAATTCAGGATTCTTATTTTCATTTAACATATTTTAGTCTTCCACTTTTATTTTTTATTTATTATTATCTTATAAACGATTTGATATTTGGGGGGATTTTTTTTTCTTTAAAACTTTGTTTTGTTTTGTTTTTTCTGTGATCTGATCCGTGATCCAATCCGTGATCCGATCTGTGATCCGGTCTGTGATCCAATCCGTGATCCGATCCGTGATCCGGTCTGTGATCCGATCCGGTCCGATCCAGATTTGTCGACGCTGGGTTACGGGCGTGAAAATGGTATCATCGAGTAAATTCAGAGTTAAATTACTGCGCTGGTCCACTTTAAGCCTTGGCTAAATCTACATTTATATTTACTCAATCATTACTACTAAATAAATACATTATTATAAAATGATAAGGCTTCTTTTCATGTTATTGCAATAATATAGTATCTATTTACCATAAGAGTGGGTGCCACGGTGCCAGTTGCCTAATGGTTAGAGTGATAGACTTTGGATCAAGTAGTTGGGATGTGAGCCATGGCCAGGGCCATCGTGTTGCATTCTTGGGGGAAAACTTTACTCTCACAGTGCCTTTCTCCTATCAGCACTCAGGAGTACATTAAATGGTTTTGCCAAATTGTAAGGCAGGGCACCCTAACAAAAATAAATGTTTGGGGGTAACATGGACAAGTATCTGTGGTGCACTAGTGTCCTATCTGGGTGAGATACTCCTAGTTATTTTATGCTATGGAAACCTAGTTGGAGCTTGTTGACTCCTGAGAGTTGGGGACTTCTAGGGTTGTGACAACTTTACCCACCTGCCTACATGCACCATCCAAGAAAAGGAAAATAATACTGTAGTCAATTGTACTGCAAGGAAATTCTCCCAGACTTTCACAAGTATTACAAGAAAAAAAGTTGTCTATTTTATTAAATAAGCTGCAATTCTCTTTCTTTTAATCCAAGATGTAAATGGCTGTCAACCAATCAAAGGTCGAGTGTAGTTTCTTATGTGTTTTAAAATATATGTCATCACCCAAGAGCTTTGAAGTTACGTTAACATTGTAAGTAGAGTAGGCATTTTTTTTTTGTATCTAATGTAATGTTATTGCAATAAAAAAAAATTTAAAAAATAAAAAAACCAAGAGCTTTGAGAACAATTGTTCCCATAAGAAAAAAATGTTAGCAAAGAAAAAGGTGAGAGAGATGTCCTTTCAGGAGGTGATGCTGATGGATGAAGGACAATTCTTGTGTCCCTTACCAGTAGGCCTGATGGCTGGCTAGAACACTAGATGCAATGAATAAAGTTTTTGATTGATGGATTGGTTGGGTGATTGATTGATTGATTGATTGATTGATTGATTGATTGATTGATTGATTGACTGATTGATTGATTCATTGATTGATGGGTTGGTTGGTTGGTTGATTGATTGATTGATACTAGACCATGGGCACGCTAATTGTTCCACTAAATTCTGTAACTTATGTTTGATAATTACATTTTTACCCCGGCTGTAAGCATTTCACATTACAAAGTGATTGGTGCTAAGGTAGTAAGATCAAGGTCTGACTGCTACCAGGCAGGGCAACAAAAAGGGTCATCACTGTTGCTCTCCCAATGATCTACACTGTCTTTTACATACCGTAAGAGTGCAGACTACCAACTTCACTTTAACTGCCAAAACAACTTTATTAATGGAAACTTTATGTACATTTGACAAAGTCCTGAATTCTGTGGACTTTGCTATTTGGAACAAAATCATTCTCCAACTACAGTATTTGCTACATACATGTAGCTCCAAGGAAACTTCTCACAATTTGTTGCAATGTTGCAATACATGTAACAGACTGAAGATATGCCATATTTCTAGGCCTACATACTTGCTGGAATGACAAAATTCAAGACTGCTCATGGCATTAAGACCCTCCATTGTAAATATGAGACTAATATACTTTTTGATTTTAGATGGCAAGAGAGAAACCCCAAAACAGTGATTTGTGACTCATCTCCAGGAATTCCAAGATTTTGAGATTTGATCAAAAGCGGTTTCCATACCTCACAATTTTCTATGTACAGTACATGAACCACAAAGCATCATTACTGATCTGTATAAATTACTCTATGTATATCTGTTTTTTGTTTGTTTGTTTGTTTTTTTTTACTCATCAACAGTCCTTGGTCGCTTATTCCCAGATTGGACATCATTTTCATTGGCTTGATTCTGCCGAGCTCTCTCAAAAAGTTTAAGCAACTGAGTGGCTTCCCTGAGCTGCATCCTTCTGTCCAATTCTTGTTGACATGCCTCCTGGCTGTGCTGGGCTTCAGCAAGACTTCTACCTAATGCTGTTGAAAACTGCTCTGTTTCAAAGTTGATCACGTCTTGGAGGCTTTCATCCGAAAATGAAATAAAAAATGCAGGATCATTTTTTATTCTTATCAAGAGATCAGATGAAATGTTTTCTGTTGTTTCCCCAGCATCTATACGGTCAAACTCCATGCTTTCGTTCATTTCTAAACTAGCCCCCAAACTACCAGAACCAGTTCTTCCTTGACTGGAGCTAAAACCTGTTGATTTGTCAAAAATAAGAAGAGATTTCTAAGAACATACAGTAATTTTCATGTTCCAAAAAAGAGGAGCTTGAGAAGAAGTGGGGAGCTCATGCACATGGTGCATACTCTTGTTACTTTGCATGCATCCTGGGGATCATGAGGGATTTTTGCAAGATGTTGAGATCATTTGATTTTTTTTTGTTTAACTAAGACCAGCTTTAATGTAACTATTGTCTATCATAGGGATTTTAGCATAATATTCTTCATTTTGGGATGGGCAGTTTCTAATCAATAAACTTGATCATAAGTTGTATACACTTGAGTTGTATCTAGTGGTTAGTTTTTTTTTTGTTTTTTTTGTTTTTTTTTCTTGTGCTAGCATTTGACTTATATTTGGACTTATATTTGGACATGTATTTGTATTTAGTTTTTGTACATTGAATTTTTATTAAGTATTTACCAAGATTAGTTTCTTTTAATTTTATTTATTTGACTCCAACTTATTGTCAGGCATTTATACATGAGCCTTGGATATGGAAGGCAACCTCATCCCACATGTTGCATTGTATTGTATTGGCATATCATGGATTACATGCCATGCATACAGTGTTTCAGCCAGAAAATTTTACTTGAGGACCAAAGTGGCCCCTGAAGATCTTTTTTAGGGGCCAATTTTNAAAGATATTTTTATTCCTAGATGAACTGTTGTTATTCCGGATAAAAAATAGACTTACCTGAAGCAAGACTTAATGCAGGGTAACCCGAAAACACTGACCCCCGGTCCGCGGACCCCCACAACGGACCTGGTCCTCAGACTACCCTACGGACCAGTCCATGGACTACCCCTACAGACCCCCTCTACGGACCACCCTAAAATAGTGTAAAAATACTAAACAAAGATTTTACTTATGGGTTGTCTAATAGATTCAGACTCGTGTCGGTGATTTTTCGCATGTTACACTGTGCAAATGTAACAGACTTGGGTTTTTACACCCCACCCCTCCTCCCAAAAGAAAATGCCTAAAAGCTGTTTTCAGCGTAAGGAGATGCCAATGGTAAAAAGGAAGGTTCTAATCTTCCATTTGTGGCTCAATCTGGCTATGGAAGATATATTGTTAGGCCGCTTATTCTTGTTTGTATCTGTTATTCTGCTGAGCAAATTGTGAAACCTGGAATGAGTTCACAAGCCCACGGGAGAATGGGCTGAACAAAATGGCAGAGGGGAAAGAACAAAAATTTCGAGGCTTCCTGGAGGCTTTCCCGTATGCATTTTTTTGTATACTTTATGGCCACAGCAAGGGTAATGGTAATGTGTAATGATATAAATTACACCCTAGCCTGAATCCAGGTCTGTTACATTTGTACAATGTAACGTTCAAAATTTCACCGTCACAAGTAGTCTATTAGACAACCCGTGAAATATTTATTTATCATTTTTATTATATTTTTGGGGTGGTCCATAGAGGGGGTCCGTAGGGGGAGTCCATGGACCGGTCCATAGGTAGTCTGCAGACTTGGTCCATAGTGAGGGTCCCCATACCGGGGGTCAGTGTTTTCGGGCAATTGAAAGATATTTTTTATTCCTAGATGAACTGCTGTTATTGCGGATAAAAAATAGACTTTCTACAAGCAAGACTTTGTGAATTGAAAGATATTAACTGATTCATCAATTTTGGCTGAGAAGAGTTATAAAAAAAGGGTCTTCGTTTTTGTAGGAGTCTTCGTTTTTGTAGGGGGGTCTTCGTTTTCATAGGGGTCTTCGGTCTTCGGGTGTTCATTTTCGGGATCTTTGTTTTCGATACTACCACGTATAAAAGTCGGACCGGATCACTCGGACCGCCTTCTAGAGCAAGTCTTTTTGATGCAGTTGATATGAAGTTTGTATGAAATGTTAGAGAGGTTAAGCACGACGTTTACGGCAAATACCAAAAATGAAACTTTTGCCGTCTCTCTTCAGCTGTGTGTACAGTAGAGTGAAATTATTTGTATTTGCAATGAATAGTAGGAGACGTTATTCCATTTTTGTGAGCCTTATTTACGGATTAGAAGAAAAGAACTCAAAATCAGAAATTGTCTTTAAATTTACCGTTTGCCGTCTGCCGTTAACGTCGTGCTTAAACTCTCTATTACGAACCTTACTTACAGTAGTTCTCAGTTCTAAATAAAGTAAATTTAAACCACTGTTTAATTTAACAGTGAGATCGATGATTGAACGGCGTCAACGCCGGTGAAAATGACACATGTCCTTACAAGCAACATTTTAACTTACTCTCTTGGCCAGCCGTCCACTCCTCTCCTTCAGAAACAATCATAAGTTTTGTTTGATCTTCCAGGAAACTAAAATACTCTTCTTCGTCAATCTCGGTTCCGTCACTGTCAAGAAAAACACGGCAGTTCGCTGCCGTTGCACCAAACTTTGAGCTTGCCCTATCTTTCAGTTCTTGAAGGCTTTCTGCAACAATTCCTGTAGTTTTTGTCCGCTCAGAGTCACAAACTTTATAGGGGCGCCGTCGTTTTCCTTCCATGTCAGAACGTCGCTTTTCACTCTAATCCGTCCACCATGTTTAATTGCTGAGGTGCCTAGCCATTCTCGTCCCCATAGCCCTTTTCGCTCCTCTTAGTCGGCAGAGCCTTGGCACGAGAATCGAACTGAGGACATACGGGGTGCTTACCATTTAGCAAAAAAATCCGGAAATTTCGGTTGAAAGTCAAATGGAACAGTGATTTTCCGGAAAATCCGTTCAGAAATTGTAGACTACCTTCAGAGGTAGTCCTCTTTTTGCGTTCGGAAAGGAACGGCGGAAATGTCCTTACCATTTGGTAATTTTCCAGTTTCCATTCTCTCATCAGCCGAAAACAATTACAAGAAATCGAATTGCAAATGGTAAGCGCCATCTCGTTCGTTTAGTTTGCTGATTTTGGAAAAACCCTTACCATTAACAACGGTCATCCCAACCGGTTTATTCTGACAAATGGTAAGCACCCAGGATTTTCGAATTAATTCGAATTTTTTTGATTGGCTGTTTGAAA